AAAGAACCCCATGTACAGAACTTTATCTTGAACATGCACTACTCACTACTCGAACCCTCGACGAAGCCATTTGTAGAACCCTGAAAACAAGTGTTGCTTTTTGACTAACTAGAGCTCTTTACGCTAAGCCTCAAAACCAAAATTCACAGAACCCTAAGGCAACCCTACCTCTTTCTAGAACCCCAAACCTAAATCAATAAAAACTCGAAAACAGAGGCCGCCGTCCTGCTGGACGAAAGGTCTTACGCGCTCTTCGAGCAGGTCGAGGATGCGGCCCTACAGTGCCCAGAGACTCCAATATCCCTTAATTAAGGAATATTCCTTAAATATGTAAGGGATCCTACTATTATTTAAGGTATATTCCTTATTTAAGGGGTATTGGAGTCTCTGGGTATCGGAAAGGGCTGGGTTTTCAGGATTTCGGGATAAGGGTTTGGGCTACCCGGGGGAGCCTTCATGGGCGCTTTTAAAAGAGGCAGGTAGGATTTAGGGGTTAGGGGTTTAGGGTTTAGGGTTTGAGGGTTTAGGATCTAGAAAGTAGATCCCCTAATTTGGAAGGTGGCCATGAAGCAGGTAATCAGGGTTTTTGAGAGTCTTTACACAGGTTTACAGGCGTGTACTAAGCGATTAAAAAGCAAAGGGTAAGGGGTTCTGGGAGACCTATGCAAAGGAGTTATGAGCAGAGTATCAGGGTTATAAGGGTGGTGTTGGGATTTTATAAACACAGAACTCGGTATTTTCGGGGTGTACAAGCCTACAAGCACTCGTACGAAGGGCCAAAGTGCAAGAATCGTCAACATTGCGTCAGCATGCCCCGGTGAGGTGCGCGCGCTCACAGCACTTCGGGTTCATGGTCTCATCCACAGAATTTACGGCTTGTGGTGTCCGATTATGCCGAAACTCCCGTTTGCTGAAGCCCTGTGCTGTCCCCCAGCCATGAAGTCTAGGCCAGGGTCGCGAAGCAAGGAATCGGCGCCCCCCAACTGTCACCGTCTGCCCCCTACAGTACCCACCCACACAGACAGACAGACAGGGTGGAAAAAAAGCCCTGGAACCATAAAGACGACTGAAACACGCCAAAAGACTACCAAAACTCCAGTAAAGCCCCGTGAAGACCCACCCCACAAAACCCGACACCCTCTAACCCCTCCGTACGAAGACCCCATCAAGCCAGCCTTTTAGCACGTTCAGAAAAGAAAGTCATTCTAACTTTTGACACACTTGGTAAACCCCGCACACCCCAGAAGTCCCCTCACACTGGGTTCTTAATTTTACAACTTAATAGGGATCTATAGCAAATATCACGATTTCTTGATTTATGGTAGCTTAAATTAAGTTTCTTAACCCATAAAGTAAACTGACTTAAACTAATTTCTTAACAAGAACCCAGGACAGCCTCAACGCTCTCCGGATCAAGGTTCGCTTGGACCTGGGACCGGCGGTCCAACATATTTTTCAAATGTTTAGGGGTTTAATAGGGTTTAGGTCTTGAGGTTTAGGGGTTTAGAGTTTAGGGTTCAATGTCTTAGGGTTTAGGGTTCAGGATTTGACCCTAAACCCCAAACCCTTAACCCGAAAGATTTGGTAGGGTTTAGGGTTCTTCTTTTGTTTAAGGCTCAGGATTTGGTGCTTTGGGCTGAGGGCTTCAACCTAGAGACTCCAATATCCCTTCAATAAGAAATATTCCTTAAATTTGTTTGGGGATCCTACTATAATTTAAGGAATATGCCTTAGTTAAGGGATATTCCTTACATTATGGTAGGATCCCTAGTATGATTTAAGGAATATGCCTTAATTGAGGGATATTCCTTACATTATGGTAGGATCCTACTATAATTTAAGGAATATGCCTTAATTAAGGGATATTCCTTACATTATGGTAGGATCCCTAGTATGATTTAAGGAATATGCCTTAATTAAGGGATATTCCTTACATTATGGTAGGATCCTACTATAATTTAAGGAATATGCCTTAATTAAGGGATATTGGAGTCTCTGGGAACTCTGCGATTTCGGTCGAGACGCGGCGCTCCCCCGGGAGACCCCGTCGCGGAGGGCCTGCGGCAGGGCTGGAGGTCTTTGGGTAGGTAATTCAGGGCAACATAGGGTTAAGGGTTTAGGATTTAGGGTTTATTTAGGGTTCAGGGTTTAAGATTTGGGGCTTAAGGTTCAGGGTTTAGGGTTCTTTTTGAGGACCTTGTTCCAGCTGCAGTACAGTTGGAGAGCTCGAATGGAGCAGGGTTTAGGATTTAGGGTTTAGGGCTCAGGGTTTAGGGTTTAAGTTTTAGGGTTTGGGGGCAACATAGGGGCCTCAAGTAGAATAGGGTTGTGGGTTACAAATATACCATCATTACAACAAGGACCCCCCAAAATCGTGTACTTATCCAAGCCCCTATTTTCCGAAAATTGTGCACCCTAATATAATACTCGGATCTTTACTATAAGGACCCCAAGATAAGCTACCCCCGAATTTTCGGAAACTCTAAACCCTTATAGAGACCTGTTAAAGGAACCCTTATCGTACCCTTATAGTAACCCTTTAAAGGGACCCTAAAATGCCCCATAATAACTGCAGCCCCCCCAGGAGGTGCCAGGGTCACTTAGCCAACCCCGAACACGGTCACTTGGCCAATCGGAAACCGTATCATGTTTCAGGTCACTTAGCAAACCCCGTGCGGTCACTTAGCCAACCCTAGGGTTTAGGGTTTAGGGTTTTAGGTTTTAGGGTTTAGGGTTTCGGGTTCATGCTTTCCTTTTAGGGTTTAGGGTTGAGGGTTTAGGGTTTCCTTTCAGGGTTTAAGGTTTAGGGTTCAGGGTTTAGGGTTTCCTTTTAGGGTCTAGGCTTTAGGGTCCAGGGTTTAGGGTTTAGGGTTTCCTTTTAGGGTTTAGGGTTTAGGGTGTACGGTTCAGGGGGTTTTGGGTTTAGGGTTTCTTTTCAGGGTTTAGGGTTTAGGGTTCAGGGTTTTGGGTTTCCTTTCAGGGTTTAAGGTTTAGGGTTTAGGGTTTCCTTTTCGGGTTTAGGGTTTCCTTTCAGGGTTTAAGGTTTAGGGTTTTGGGTTTCCATTTAGGGAAACCCGTTTCCTTTTAGGGTTTAGGGTTAAGGGTTTAGGGTTTCCTTTCAGGGTTTAGGCTTCAAGGTTTAGGGTTGAGGGCTTAGGGTTTAGGGTTTCCTTTTATGGTTTAGGGTTTAGAACCCGTTTCCTTTTAGGGTTTAGGGTTTACGGTTTAGGGTTAAGGGTGTGGGGTTTCCTTTTAGGGTTTAGGCTTCACGGTTTAGGGTTGAAGGCTTAGGGTTTAGGGTTTCCTTTTAGGGTTTAGGGTTTAGGCTTGAGGGCTTAGGGTTTAGGGTTTCCTTTTAGGGTTTAGGGTTTACGGTTTAGGGTTAAGGGTGTGGGGTTTCCTTTTAGGGTTTAGGCTTCACTGTTTAGGGTTGAGGGCTTAGGGTTTAGGGTTCCCTTTTAGGGTTTAGGGTTTAGGGTTTCCTTTCAGGGTTTAAGGTTTAGGGTTTAGGGTTTCTTTTAGGGTTTAGGGTTTCCTTTCAGGGTTTAAGGTTTAGGGTTCAAGGTTCACGGTTTCCTTTTCCTTTTAGGGTTTAGGGTTTACGGTTTAGGGTTAAGGGTGTGGGGTTTCCTTTTAGGGTTTAGGCTTCAGGGTTTAGGGTTGAGGGCTTAGGGTTTAGGGTTTCCTTTTAGGGTTTAGGGTGTAGGGTTTAGGGTTTTAGGTTTTAGGGTTTAGGGTTTCGGGTTCAGGGTTTCGGGTTTATGCTTTCCTTGTAGGGTTTAGGGTTGAGGGTTTAGGGTTTCCTTTCAGGGTTTAAGGTTTAGGGTTCAGGGTTTAGGGTTTCCTTTTAGGGTCTAGGGTTTAGGGTCCAGGGTTTAGGGTTTAGGGTTTCCTTTTAGGGTTTAGGGTTTTGGGTGTAGGGTTCAGGGGGTTTTGGGTTTAGGGTTTCCTTTTAGGGTTTAGGGTTTTGGGTGTAGGGTTCAGGGGGTTTTGGGTTTAGGGTTTCTTTTCAGGGTTTAGGGTTTAAGGTTCAGGGTTTTTTTCCCTCCTACCAGCGTTTTGGGTTTCCTTTGAGGGTTTAAGGTTTAGGGTTTCCTTTTAGGGTTCTTTGTTGGGCTTCCAACACCTGTGAAAATGAGCGTGCCAAGCGACCAAAACTGGAGCGTGCTAAGCGACCCGAAAAAAAGTTGGCTAAGCGACCCCTCTACCCCCCAGGATGCTACGGGAAGATCCCAAACTGAAGGGACAGCCAAGCCCATGCGTCCCCCAGAGACTCCAACATCCCTTAATTAAGGAGTATACCTTAAGTTATGGTAGGATCCCCAATATGATTTTTAGGGTATAGTCCTTAACTAAGGACTATACCTTAAGTTATGGTAGGATCCCCAATATGACTTTTAGGGTATAGTCCTTAACTAAGGACTACTCCTTAAGTTATGGTAGAATCCCTCGTATGATCTAAGGTATATTCCTTGATTCAGGGACTTCCAAGCCCGTGCGTTCCGACGCCACGGCCCTTTTCAATCGCGAACGCTCGCTGGAGAGGGAATCCTGAGAGCTCATCGACTGAAGGTTTCGGGGCTTGTCTAGGATACCCAGTAACCTAAGAATAAAAAGGCCTCTCTTTTTGATATTGGGTAACTTTATAAGGAACCTAGGACTACAAAAAGGGAATAAGGGTACTACTGGGCATCCTAGTTGTTGCCGTAGAAGGACATCAAGAACTAGAACGGTTTAGGGTTTAGGGCTTAGGGTTTAGGGTTTAGGGGTTTGGAGGATATGATAGTGCTGTAATTGCAGTGATCCTTGAGGTACAACCTTACACCCTAAGCCCCCTTAAATCCTAACCCCCTAACCCTGAACCCTAAACTAAAACCCTAAAACCATTCAGGCCCCCTACATACTAATCATTATAGTAACCAGTATAGTACTGGTATGCTTATCAAGCGCCTTTACAGGCAGCCCTATGTTCCCAAACCTTCAGACCCTAAACTCGCGACTCAGAGTTCCCAGCCGGGGAAGGACGACCTGAGCCGAAGCTCAGTCAAGGGTCTTGGTTGCTTTTGAAGCCTGCATGGTTAGAACAAGTTTTGGGGGATACAGAAGTTTAAGGTTTAGAATAGTGTTTTGGGGATATAGTTAGGGTTTGCAATAGTGTTTTGGTGGTATTGGGTTTGCAGTCACACAGGTAGCAGAGTGTTTTGGGTCCTTATAGAAAAGTAGCTAGAATAATGTTTTGGTGCCTTCGTAGGCAAGATAGTGCCTTGGCACGTTGGCAGTTAGAATATAATGTGTTAGGGATATATGGTCGCATCGTCATAAGGCATTTACGCGTTAGACTTGGTGCCTTGATAAATAGAACCGCGTTTTGGTGAGCGTTGACAAGTATTATAATGTTTTGCGGCCTTACTCGCAAAAAGGTGTTTTGAGACCTTAATAGAGAAAACGGTGTGTTGGGGATATCTTATCTCCAATTATGAGCACTTAGGAGCTACAATTGGGGTCTGTTTTTGTTGAAACATCTTTTGGTGCATGCGGCATGCGGTAGATTCAGGTATACGTATGTTAGCACCGGAAGAGACGATATCATTCGTAGCTAGTCAGAAGCTTACCTGTAGGAACCGCGAAAGGAAGTTAATTAATTCCTACTCGAGGAAGCAGCCCTCCCTCTGTCAATTCGGCCTCTCTGGCGCAGCCATGTCCAGGAGGAAGCAGAAGAGGCCAGCCTCTGACTTCCCCGACACTAATTGGGGCTTGATGTTTGGGGTTTAGGGTTGGAGGATTGAACCGCCGGAGTCGTTTCAACTCGCGGAGCGGCTTCGCGAGCTGGACTGGAGCCTTGGGGTACATTATTACTATGCTGAATATGCTATATTGGGGATAATAGGGGGGTGTAAGAGTATTCGATCTGACTTCTCGATGAATGTAAAGCTTCCGTCTGCACATCTGTTGAGGATTGTACTTTGCACGGTCTACACCATGTTTGGGGTCGCTCATATTCTGCAACTCCGAAGCCTGTGGAAACCCTGAACCCGATTCCTTAACCCCTGCCTTAACCTACCAAACCCTACCTTTTTTAGGTTCTTATTAATTCTTATTATAAACCCTAGTATGAAATTTATGGGGACTCTCCTTTTTTATAGGTTTTGGTAGGTTAAGGTAAACTTTCGAGCAGCCCCGAGCCCCCTGCGTCGCCCTCCATGAGGCTCAAAGGGGAGTCTGGCACGCCGCGGACCTCGTTCGTGTTTAGGCGGAGGTTTATTTAGGTACGTGTATGAGGACCCCACCAGCGGATTCAAAGCTGTTTTCAGAAAACTTAGGGTTTAGGGGAGAGGAATGAAAATTTTTGTGGTTTGATAAGGCTCTTGCAGAGTAATCTGCTGTCTTCCATACAAAGCCCCGAGAGAACCCATAAACCCGCGTAAATCCACTGCTGCGCATCCCAATAGCCTTCTGAACCCTAACCCCTGAACTCCAAACCTCTGAACCCTAAACTCGAAAACCCTGAACCCTAAACCCTAAACCCTAAACCTCTGAACCCTAAACTCGAAAACCCTAACTCGGCGCGAGCCAGGCGGCCAGTCGTTGCTGATCCGGCTGGCGCCGGATCGCTTCATGAAGCCTCGGTGGAGGCAGTGAGCAGTAGGAATTTGGCTTTACCGGGTTTTGTGGAGCAATTTATGGGGTGCTATGGTGTTGTTGTTTACATGGCTCGTTATAAGGTACTTTACTTTACAAGACACTGCTTTTGCATCAGCGATCTCGGAACTTTCTCGCAGATCTGAGGCATCCCACTCCGGCTGCTGCATCATCGCCGCGAAGGCTCTCGCCCGGGCGAGGTGCGATGCCTCTCCCTCAGCCCGGTAGAGGCCTGGGAGCTGATACTGCCGGGCTCTATAATACCTTAGCCTACCAAACCTACTTTTTTGTAGGGTCCCTGAAAATTCCATATTATATTAGGGTCTATAATCAGAACCTACAGAAAGTAGGGTTTGGTAGTTTAAGGTAGGGTGAATTACTTACTATAAGGGATACTATAAGGGGCTCTATGATGTAGGGGCCTTAATAATGAGAATAGGACGAAGGTACACAATAATCCACAGGGCCAGTAGTCGAAACCCAGAACACGGACAACCCCAGGGCCTTGATTGAGAGAGCCTGCCTAATCTGAGGCTTGGAAATCCCTGGTTCCAAAGGAAATCAACCACAAAAACTAGAGGAGCCTGACAGCGGAATGCGAAAAGAAGGTGCTGGGGGAAAGGTTAGGGGGGTTGAAGGGGGGAAGTTCCCTTCCGCCCTTCGGGAGCTCTCTGTGCTGTCTTGGACCTGTTCGACGAAGCTTGAAACCCACGACGAAAGCTTTCATGGCCAAACCTCAAAGCTACACCTTTGGACTCCAACAACAGGAAAAAAAAGGTACACAATCCACAAGGCCAGTAGTCGAAACCCAGAACCCGAGTAACCCCAGGGACTTGATTGAGAGAGCCTGCCTAGCCTGAGGCTTGGAAACCTCTTGTTCCAAAGGAAACCGACCGCCAAAACACCAAGGAGACAACCTCCTAAAAGAATACAAAGCCACCCCTTGGAGTTAGACCGAAGAACAAAAAACGAAATCCAGAACGCTGGTCGTCAAAACCCAGAACCCAGGGTAACTCCAGAAGCTTCAAGCCCCGCAAAGCCTGAGGCCTGGAAACGCGTTCCTCCGAAGGACACCGAAAAGGAGAAGATCCTGAAACAAAGACCAAAACCGCACAGGAAACCTAAGAAGAAGAAGAACCCGTCACGGACCCGTTAAAAACCCCAAGCTAAGCTACCCGTGGGACTGAAACCGAAAACCCCATGTTCGAAAAACAAACCCAGAAGCAGAAGATCCCAAAAGGAAGGGGCAAACCCGGAGAGGAGACCCAAGAAGAAGAACCGAGAAACCTCGTCCACCCCGAAACCCCCGAGCAACCCCTCGATCCCAGGCGCCCTTGCGCAGACCTTCGTTTTGCACCGCGCATCGCGAATTAGGAGCTCTTAGTCAAAATGAAAGTACTGCATGCAGCGGAACCCCCCCAAAAGAGAGGGGTTCAGAAGAGCACGCAAATGCAGCCGCACCAAGGCGAATTAAATGAATTCAGCCTGTGCGGAAGTCTAGTCAAACCCTATGTTTAGATACCCCCTAGTTCCGAGTAGTAAACTTAGACCCTATGTGCTGCTCCCATCAAACCCTGGTAGCGAAGCTGGGAGAAAATGATCTTGATTCTAGCTGCTTCGTTCTAAACCTCTTGGATGCGAATTCCTCCTAAAGACCTACCGCTTAAATCTAAAACACGAAAATAACTCAATGACACATCATTTCTCCCAGTCCGACCAATGGAAGGATGGGGCCGGCGAAGCTTCGCGCTTCGCCCGTGGCCCTCTCCGCACAGGCTGGTGGCCGTAGCGCCGGAAAGCTCCCCGCAACAGGCGGCATTCCTCGCGGGTAAGCCAGCCTCGCCACTTCTTGGCGAGTTGCCGGCAAAGTGCGCTACCGGTCAGCGTACGGCCCATGCACTCCGTGGGCCCCGAAATAACTTCCTCACTTCCTGCGGCATACGCCGCGAGCCAGGCCCTCATTCCGTAGAAGCCGAACGGGCGCTCGGCAAACGTTCTGGTCAGACCTCTAGGGTTTAAGAGCATAAGGAAAAGAGGACTAGCTAAGCAACCCTAGAGTAAATACAGCGCTAAGACCCCGAAATTTTGGAACAAGGTGAAAGGAAACTATCTATCTCAACTAAATTCACAAGTACACTACCCCGGGGTACTACAAAGTTTCCTTTCCGGGCTTTGGGGTTTGGGGTTTCGGGTTTCTACAAAATAAAAGGTTACAACTGCACGAATCCTGAGGGTGTCGATGCACGCAATGCGAAACCATGCAAGCAGTAAATCAACATGGTCATCATCGAGACCATGGTGACCATGATAGTAATGACCTTGAAAAGTGGACAAAGCAATGGCAATGGAGAGCCAGCCAAGAGAAAGCATGCACACTGCCGCTGCTGCGGAGAAATGCAACACATGCTCTGGCCACTACAGTCATTAGCACACGTCTCACAAGGCTGCCTTCAAACCTAGCAATCGCAGGAAACATGTCTGTATTGGGCGGGAATCTTAGTCAAAAGTTTCACGGGCAGGTTGGGGGATCCGGTTCTGTAGGGGTTACATAAGTGACACGAGGGGCAGGGCAACCGCAGCTCCATTTAGTTTCCACCGCAACTGAAGCCTACGCGCTATCTGGCTCGGTTGGGGCAAGTACCTGAACCTACCAAAACCTATAAAAAGAAGTAGGGTCCCTATAAATTTCATATTGGGGCTTATGACAAGGACCTACAAAAAGGTAGGGTTTGGTAGGTTAAGGCAGAGCTGGATGTCCGATACAGCGGCCTAAGAAACTCGACGATATGCGCAAAGGTGCTGGGGTAGATAGAGGGGGCTCAACAATTAGAACGGGCTTTGGATTAAAGTTTAATATCCCTACATAGAGGAACCCTAAAGCCCCACAGAATAGCTTCATTGAACCCCATGAACTGAAGAAGGCACTACAAGCAGTAACAATCCGTAGTGTATCGACGTCTTAGCTTCCCCGGCATCCGAGACTGTCGGGTTTGTATGGGGTTTGGAGTTCGGCCGAAACTCTCCACCCTAAACCGCATGAGCCTTTGCAGGCAAGGGGCTCAAGAAGGTGTAAGCATTGCCGGAGATGCCATGACATAGACCCAGCCCCTACGGTTGATGATATAAATCCTGCATTACCCATAATAAGGAATATGCCATAATTACCATAGTTTAGGGTCCTTAGGGTAATGCAGGATTTATATAATCAACCCTACCATAGAAGGCAAGGTTTCTTATTCAGGTCCCTACCCGAAACCCTTTATAGATCCCTTATAGACCCCCGTACAGTAACCCTTATAGACCCCCTGTAAAGGCAAGTCGGGACTTGCTCGGGGTCTTTGGGGTCTAGGGTGGGCTTTGGGCTTCGGGTTTTGCGCAGCTTTGGGGGCCTCAGTTCAGTAAGACCCATGCCAAGAAATCTGAAATCGCAACCCTCTGCAACCCAACAACCTGAAAAGAAAAGCAACAAAAATAGCACTCTGCCCCGAAAACCCCTTGGGTTCAGTTCAAGACTGCCGCTTGAAAGACCCAAAGCACCCACAAAACTGGCGCAGCATGATGAAAAACCGACCAAACTCCAACCCCCGCCTGTTCTGAACCACCCTGCGCCTCCAGGCTTAACCCTAAAACCCTCTACCCTCTGTTCACCCTAAACCCCAAAGCCCCCCACGATGTTCCCGCAACCCTAGAGGGAACTCCAGAAAGTTGGAATACGGTTTCAGGGTAGGATACCTTATAATTTACCATAAAGGGTTTAGGATAATCATACTCTAACTTTCTGGCTTCTACTTTAAACCCAAAGAAGAATCCCCCGGGGCCTTGAGGATGAGCCCACGCTTCCACACCACCTCGCCCGCCTTCACCGAGGTGGTTTCGGGGTTTGAGAAAAAAAGGCGGCGTTTAGGGTTTAGGGTTTAGGGCGGGGTGCGGGCGCTTTCGCAGTTTCCTGGTCCAGTGCGAAGACCTTCGAGACTCCCTTTTCAAAACCCTTGCGAAGTCTCCAACGCCCTCCAGGATCTCAAAAACCCTAAACTAAGACCCCAACAAGCTACACCCTACCATGATCCTGAACACCAAAGAATACCTGGACCCTAAAGAACATACCTTTTTATGGCTCCTTATTGGTATTTCCTTATGGAAGCCCTTTAAGCTTGGTTATTCAATATAGGGGCCTTAACAATTAGAATAGGGTTTAAGCGGCCCATTATACTATAATCATAATACGGAACCCCCAAAATGGTGTAGGTAATTATTCATGGCCCTATATCATACAGCCCTTATAGTATCCCTTATAGTGACCCATATATAGAGCCCGACAAGGCCGCTCCAGTAGCCCCAGAGTTGAGCACTTCGATGCCTCTTGTGCGGCCCTCCTCAGCGACCCGTCGGCATCGCCGAGGACCTGCCACGATCCAAAGCGTCGAAGTTTGGGGGTACCTTTCACGGGTTGCGATAAGGATACCTACAAGGGTTCCTTTAAAGGGCTTTGTTGAGGGGGTGAAGGTGTCCGAGAATGTGGGTGGGGGGGGTACCTTATTTTGGGATCCTTTTTATGAGGATCCTACTATCTAGAGTGCTATATTAAACGGGTCCCCAATCTTCGGAAACTCCCCTGTCTTCTCGGGCTTAGGGCGCTCATGAAGGGGCAAGTTTTGGGCAGCTTCTGCTTACTACAACTGTGTCAATGAGGAAAAAAGCCTGAGGAATCGTTCACCAAATCTGCTCCCCCTCGAGACCCAGAGACTCCAATACCCCTTAATTAATTAAGGAATAGTCCTTAAATTATAGTAGGATCCCCAATATGATTTAAGGAATATTCCTTCATTAAGGGATATTGGAGTCTCTGGGAACCTGCCTTGATAAGCCCTCCAACTGTGTCTGGCTGACCATTGCGGCGAGGAGGAACAGCGCTGGTAGCCCAGACCTATGCCAGGGCCGCCCAAGAAAAAATGGCACACCTCCTAAGACTTCAGATGTCGCCATTCGCCATCACAGAAGGCATAAGCAATGCCGACATGATCTTTAGGCTGTAGGCTCAATGTAACAAACAACCAAGGCCCCCACGCTCCATGGCACCAGTGCACGTGCTCTTCCCCTTGGAGTTAAGGGTTTGGTTTTCGGGTCTAGGTTTAGGGCTTCTGGGCTCTTTAGGGATTCTAGCTGCGTTAAGCTTTCCGGGTCTAGTGGATAAGGGTTTGTTCAAGGGCGTAGGGTTTCAAGTCATTGCTGGGGCCCCTGGCTGAGCTTGCAGAGTTTTTGTAAACACCGAACTCTGGACTCGCCTGGATCCTCAACCCCCCAAACCCCCCAGAGCGCCGAATCCAAACCCTCAAACAAAAGACATTCGGCCCGAATACGACAAGACAAACGAGAACATTACCGTGTAGGGTGGAGGAACACTACCGTGTAGGGTGGAGGCTTTAGGCTTTAGGCTTCAAGAAATCTATCACAGATCCCCGGGTGATTTTGGAGTCCCTGGATGCAGCGAAGCTGCGCCGATCGCCCAGCACGATGGGCACATTACCGCTCGAGTAGCGGATGGAGAGGAGCCTCCGATCGGCCGTTGAAATCTATGGGAGTTTCCGAAACTAAGGTCCCTTTAAAGGGTTACTATAAGTGATGGAAGTCAGAATTAGCGCTGTGAGTGCTGTGTGTCGCTGCGGGTCGGCTTCAGGGAAGGCTACGCGAAGGTCCCTTGTGCCGCCACGAGCAGTATGTATAGATTTTGCAGCATGCCATGATCGGCAGAAGCCAGCTAATTTCGAAGCAGTAGATCTACTCTGTACAACCTTAGATCCTGCACAGCTTTGTTGGCGTTGGAAAAACTAACTTCCGAATCGAGCGCCGCGCCCATGGTCTGAGCTGTCTTTGAACAAGCCTCCTGTAAGAGGTGTTGGCGTTCTCTAGGTTATGAGCGCCCAACCAGAAGACGCGCGACTTCGTGATGAAGCAGCGGACCCTCGTGATGAGGGGGCGGAGGAAACCGCAGCGGGTGGATCGGGGGCTGTATTGCCTACAGTCTCGGATCCCCCGCAGATGAATGGTTATGCGAAAAAGGTGTCAGCAGTGAGCAAGGTCCTGGTCTGGCTCCCGCAACTACTACCTCTGCAGAAGATGGCCCGAGGGGCAGTGGAGCAGCCAAGACCCAGGAACCGGGTGTTTTGCGGGAAGCAGAGGCTCGCACAGACACAAGCATCCACGATGCTTCAAGTGGAGTAGGCTTTGCTGCAAGGATGCCAGGTGAGTCCGGGGCGATTCCAGAGCTGTTCGAGGATGAGCGAGAAGGGAGTTATGCGACTCCCCGGTCTATGAGAAGTGGGACGTTTACTCAGCGTCCTCAGCCTGGCGCGTGGCCGGGATGGATTTCGAAGCTGGGTGATATGTTCAAGGCCCCAGCGGTGAACTGGATCCCTAGCCCTTTGCCGTCGCCTCCTCGACCTAGGCGATTGCTGGAGCCACGCGGCCTTCGAGGACCTCCTGGAGTACGTGGACCTGCACCTGAGATGGAGAGTGGGGTGGTTTCTAGGGTTGAGGAGTTAAGAAGGTTTGGGATTCCCCCTAACCAGAACACCCCCAGCAGCAGCAGCATTCCAGCGGAAGCAATCCAAGCAGAAGTTCAACGGCAACTGGGCTCGCTTCTGGACCGTTTGCAGCTAGCTGAATCCAGCAATGCAAGGCTTCAGGAGGAGTTGGAGCTTGCGAAAAGAGCTCAGAATTCCTTCGCTGAGCAAGCACCAGCGAGACCTGAGAGCTTGAGGGCTAGAACAACAGGGATGCTAGCGTCGGAATTGCAAGGGCTGGAACCTCCTGGAGATCCACGCGGAAGAGCAAGGCCTGATCAAGAACTTGGGGGTGCTCCTGCTTCCTTTGCTCAGGGTGACGGCGAGTGTCAGGGGGATCATGTAGAGCGCCTTCAGCGTGATGAGGGACTTCGAGGCCAAGTTGACAGGGATCGGGGCGGTTCTTCAGGAGCTCATAACGATCCTGCTCCTGAGGCACGGCTTCGTCCAGATCCTTGGAGAGATCCACTTGGAGCTCTATGGGAAGAGTTGCAAGGCCGAAGGGCGTCCTCACCCGGGCTTGGGACGCAAGGCCCTATGCCCAAAACTCAGGGCCCAGCTAGAGTTGAAGATGCGCGCGCGAGGCCTGCAGAAGACTCAACAACCACAGCGATCCTGGAAGCACTTACGAAGAATATCACGAGCCTCCAGGAACTCCAAGCCAAGGCCTTGAAGAAAGAGGGTGAGGGCGATGATGTGCCGGAGCAAGTGAAAACGAATGCCGTCAGCCTTCCCTTGCTAGCTGGACCTGAGGGAGTTTCTGCGGGAAATCTTTTCCAGGACTGGTTGGCACAAGTCGCGATCCCGATGCAGGACCTGTCGTCATCGTCGGGCTGGTGGTGGAGCGAGGTGATAAAGCTTGTGAGGGATACATATTCCCGGTGGCTGGCAGCAACTCCGTTGGAGCGGTTACAGTTGGAACCCGTTGGACATGAAGCTCTCACAACGGCCAGATGGACACGTGTGAACTCGAGGGCATGTTCTCTTCTACTTCAATGTCTTGTGGAGCCCATTCGATTGGATTTGATTGCTCGCAGGGCTGTCCAAAGTGCCCCAATGGTGCTGTGTCGGCTGCACACGTGCTATCAGCCGGGAGGTGCTTCAGAGCGAGCGGCTGTGTTGAGCAACCTTCAGAATCCAGTTCAGCCTAGCTCGCTGGATGAAGCGTTGGTGTGGCTGAGGTCATGGCCAAGGTGGGTACAAAGATGCAAGGATCTCAATATGGTGATCCCTGATGGCACGATTCTGGCCCGAGCTTTGACTACCGCTACTACCAGGTATGTGAGCGAAAATGCTGATAGCCATTTCAGGACGCAGCTTCTTCGCTCGAGTCTGCGTATAGATGGACAACCGTCTCTACAAGATGTCTTGAAGTACCACCAGCACTTGCAGGCGGAAGCAGAGTCGATGATCTCCTCGCGAATGCAGGGAGCCTTGAGTTCACCGGGGGTGAAAGCAATGATGCCTACTTCAACGGCGGCGCCTCAGGCAAGTTCGACTGTCAAGCCCCCTTGCAAATACTTCGCTAAGCCAGGTGGCTGTCGTCGTGGTCAGCGTTGCCCGTACACCCACGACTGGTCTGGTATGAGCAAGCAGGAGAGATCGCGCAGATGCTTGGTTTGTGGGAGTGAAGAGCACCGACAACGCGATTGTCCGGCTAAGACTCAGAAGCCGCCTCCCAAGGGCGGTGGGACTGGGGGTGGAGCACCTACTGTAACTTCATCTACTCCAACTTCGCCTACAACCAACCCTAAGGTGCACAAAGTGGAGCCGGAGGGAGAGTCGTCACCCACGGCGGCTACGACTGTGATACCAGGTGAGCCAGTGTGGACCCTTGAGTCACTTCTTCAGGCTGCAGCGAAGGTAGCGGGAGCAACCCCGTCTACGCCGAAGGCACCGTCGATCAACGTAATGGCCATCCGGCAAGGACCTCAGCAAGGTGAAGGTGCGGCGGCCTATGCGTTAGTGGATTCTGGCGCGACGCATGCTTTGAGGCAGGCGGTCTCTATGGCAGAGTGGGAAGCGGCAAGTCCTGTTAGGGTGAACCTGGCAGGAGGTGAAACTGTGGACTTGAAGATGAATGAGGCAGGGACGATCTTGGTTCCCCGCCATTCCTTGACCTCGGCGTCTTCTACATCTCCGATTGTGCCGTTGGGAGCGTTAGTGGGTCAGCTTGGCTACACCATGACATGGGGAAACTCCAGGTGCAGACTACAAAGCCGAAGTGGGGACATCATCAATCTTCGAGTTCGTGAAGGGTGTCCTGAGATCACGGAGCACGAGGCCCTCAAGTTGATTGCGCAGTTGGAAGACACGCGGTTGAATGAGTTGAGATCCCATACTGCTGAGACCCGGCAGCGAGTGCGTGCTGCTGCTATGGCAATGGAGAGGACCTGGTTTGACAATTTGATGTCGTATGTGGACAGCGAGATGGCTTCCGAAGCCTGGAAGGCAGTGGAATGTGCCCCTTTCCTGCGGGATATACCGAAGCCGTGCACTGCAGGACTCGTCGACGCCTACCCAGAGGGGAACGGCTGGCAGGCTTTGCGTGGCTTGGAGCATCTCAACAGGAGGACCAGAAAGCGATTATGGTCCTCGGATCAATGGATCGTGCACTTGTTTGCGGGCAAGAATGAAAAGCAGGACCTCAAGCACTTGGAGGGCCATGGCTATGTGATCTTCGAGCTGGACATTGAGCGCGGAAGAACTCAGGATGTTCTGCGGTCCAGTACGTGGAGGGCCTTGGAGTGGGGAGCCCGCAAGGGGAAGATTGCCTCTATCATCGGGGGGCCACCGCAAGGCACCTTCATGATATCGCGGCACGTGGGTGCAGTGGAGCCTCTTCGGTCAAATGAGCATCCCTATGGGAACTGGGCAGGGCAATCTGATGCTGACGTCTGGACAGTCAATCGGGAAACTCAGCTCATCGTGAGGATGATCTACCTCCATGCGTTGGCGTCTGCTGGCCGACTTAAGGCCAATCCGAGCCCAGAGCGGAGGCGGGAAGTGGGTTTTATGATGGAGCACCCGCGGGACCCGCGGGGCTACTTGAAGTTCCAGGACCCGTTGTACCCTGATGTGGTGAGCGTGTGGAGAACCCCATTGTGGATGGAGTATGCATTGGAGGCGGGCCTGAACACCTACAGTTTTGACATGGCTGGATTGGGAAAGGCGTTCACAAAGCATACCACGTTGGGGACCAATTTGTCGCTGAGGCATTTGAATGGGCTGCGCTCGAGGTGGCATTCTGATGGTCCAGTTCCTGAAAGGTCGCCGGCATGTGTGTGGACCCAGGAGTTCATTGAGAATGTGACCATTGCCCTTCGAGAGTGGGGGAAAGTTCCCCGCATGCTGAAGATGAGCGCTGACCAATGGAGGGAACATGTTCGGCGAGGCCATTTGCCCTTCAGAGCAGACTGCTCTGTGTGTGTCCAGGCTGGAGGCACTGGACGGCGACATTCTCGAGTTGAACATCCCTCGGCGTTTGTGCTGTCAGCCGATCTCTCAGGACCTGTGAAGATTGGCGGTGTGGATCCAGATGGTCGAGGAGCGTTTCCCAAGCCGTTTAAGTACATCTTTGCGGCCAAGTTGCGAGTTCCCAAAACCTTCGTCGAGGATGGCCGTGGAGCATGGGTTGATTACGATCCCGGGGAACTAGATGAAGGCAACTACGAGGACGCTGATGATGGTTTGGCCTTGGAGGGAGAAGTGAGAGAACCTGCTAAGGTCCCTGACGAAGATCCCGATGTGGAGGAGGAGCCAGAGTTGAAGGAAGTTCCTCGTCGTGATCCTGACGAGGACTTGGACTTAGCAGGGCCGGAGCTGGTAAACCTCATCTTCGCTTGTGGCTTGAAGGATGACAAGGCTACTACGGTGCTAGAGGCGATCCAGGAGGTAGTGCTCTATTGTCGATCGTTGAACATCCCTGTGCTGAGGTTCCACACAGATCGTGGTATGGAGTTCAGAGCGCGGGGTACCCGGCAGTGGTTG